TTTCCGTAATGAATAATTTACGCAGTTATGCAACCATGAGTCACACCTATACAAATGAAAAAAGGCTATATTTTCCCTATATAAATTGAAATAAAAGGCTGCCGGTTTTAGCAATTACATTTGGGTCGGGTAGGAAACTACTAACACATACAACACACTCATGAGTCGATGGTAATGAAATGTGACATCGGTGACGTAAATTATTTTGACATTTTGCATCTTGTCAACTGGTGGCAAAAAATAAATAAATAGTCTCCTTCATTTGTCCCCTTGGTCCAGTTCCCCCCAACACGTGTCACTCATGTTGATCAGCTGTCATGTTACTTCGTACTGAGGGGACACACATCTGCTGGCCCTCCGTAGACATTCAAGGGAAATGATGGTGATGTTGGTTTGAATGTTTTTCCATTGCAATTTCTGTTATTGTTAACTTCAAGCTTAGAATAACCTGCGCAGGCATTTGGATTTAGCCACGTGGAGGCTGTATTTAATTGAATATTATTTTTGTTATTCATTGTATTAATCCACTGGGTTATCTTCTAGGTTTTGTCATATAATATATATATAATTATACATAGATATATAATTAGATTTTAATAAAACTCATTTATTTTGGGTCATTTTGATGATGGCCGACTTTAAGGAAGTTTGAACACGATTCCAGGCCACAAGTTTGGCGGACTGCATTGTTGGGAGCACGTTAAGAAAAGAGATGGCAAAAAGCTTTTGGCCCCGACTTTTTTCATCATGTACATGCTTGATTTGAATGAGGTTGAAGATTGGGTGGGGAAACTTTTGCCACCGGATGATTTGTAAGACTCATTCAAAATTCAATTTTCATTCAAAAATCGAATTACTGCTGGAATAAAAAAAGACCTTGCGAGTTGTGGTTGGTGGAACACGGAATGAGCTTCTCCTTCAAATGAAACTTGCTCTCTTTTCTATGGTGACCTCTAGTGGGTCCGGGTGAAGGCCAATAACTGAACCAGCCTTTCTGATCAGCTCATTGATCCTGTTTGTCATCCGTAGTAATTCCCTCCCCCAACAGAGCACGGCATAGAAGAGGACCCCAACGGAGATCCCCTGATGAAAAAAACCTGAAGAAGCTTTCATATTGTAATATGGAAATTCAGATACGGTAGATGGAAATCAAAATTGCCGCGCTATCTGCAACGCACAGACATGATCTGGAAACATGGCAGCGGCCTTCAATTGCGAACATTCTGCTGTGGCGTGATCTCATAAGCACCACTCCAGCAGAGCAGCGCACATCATTCGAGTACAGAACCACCTGGCAGATTTAATGTGGTCGTTCCTTTCCCCTCAAGAGGATGATGCGCAATACCCACTGTGGTTCTTCAATACCATTGGAGACCATTTCCAGGCCATCGTGGTCCAGAATGCAGCAGTTTCTTTAGTGGCACCACGGGGCGCGATATGGTTACAACCATGGTGGAACATTGATAACCCTTCCATACAACTCAGGAATCACCCTCTGCAGGACCAAACATAAACAGAGCAAAGCTCAAGTCCTGTCACTATTTGAGGTAAATTGTCCTGAACCAAAGCATTGGAAAATATTTACCCGACTGTGCCCTTACTGGAAAGGTCAGAGGTCAAGAGCAGATCATCATTTCGCCACCGAGAACGTCTGCGGCAAATTTAATTTTAATTCTGTTTCTAACAACAACATTTCACATAAATAATAAATATGATAATGATAACGGTTGGCAGTATCCTAACAGATGCTGTATGACAGAACAGTGAGTTTGTTTATGAAAATGGAATCAGTAAGTAATTACTTTAAGTATAGAGTGCTCAATTACTTTCGTTTGTTTGTCATTTTACAATAATCCAGTGGACGTGTGCTTCTTCCGGAGTTTACGAAATGATTTGCCACCATGTGGTCGGAAAATAAATGAGGAGATTGTTGCATTTAGTTTGTCAGCCGTTATTTTATGTAATTTGAGCTAAATGATTATCATTCATGAATGTACACATGCCTCATAATGTGAAAGTTGCTGAGAGGTAGGCCAGTATATTACATTTTAGTTTATTTCCATTTTAAAGTAGAATATGCATGTGTATATTGTTTAATTGGACTTTGTTATATTGAGGATATATTATATTGGTACATGTGTTGGCTTGACGCTCCCTTTATTTTCCTGCTTATATTGACGTCATGTTTGCAGCAGGTACAACTGAGATGGGCGGATTAGGCACCAGTACAGTTTTTCTACCCTGCGACGGAATGTTTTTTTTTTTGTGTATTTAGTGAACGCTTTTAATGCTTGAAATGAACACCAAACAAAAAGAACTTAACATCTCTTGTCATTCGCGTGAAGAAAAGGAAATACATGAGTCTGCAGCTCGATTGAGACTTAGAAATGTACGTCAACGAAGAATCGGCGCTGCAGTCTGCATAGAGGTTTTTAGAAGACGAGCTCCAGTAGTCGGAAGATCTTTTCCTACGAGAAAGACTTTAACGTGAGGTCAGTCACTAATTTGACCGAGAGCGGCCAAGAATCCAGAATCCAGGAATGAGGCAAAGTCATAGAACAAAGCAATCAGCAGGGAAAATGCTGGAAACCGATGAGCGCACACAGGGGAGAACAAAGACAACCTGGCACCGGAACAAGGAACCAGGGGGGTATTTATGCCTGTGGCTGGCTGGCTGGCTGGCCTGGGGGGAGGGGGTCGAGGGGGGGAGGTGCAGGTGATTGAACGCAGGTGTAGCGAGTGAGAAATCAGCAGGAACACGAGGACGGGAACTGAAATGACAAAAAAAAGGGCGATCAACACCGTTAGGTTCCGAGTAAAAAATCTAGAGAACCGGCACGAAATGAACTTAATTGTTTATTTTACTGCCAACATTAAGTTAGCGGTGAGGCATTTAATTTAACTAACAAACGGTAATTGAAAAAAAACGTCTTTCTTCAATAAAATTGTGTTGGCGTTTTCCTCAGTAGGATTCATGACCTCTATCAGTGACCAGTTGGAGAATGTTTCCTTAATCTTGTTTCCATATCTGCAGAGCCTGTTGAGTCTCGAGACAGACTGATGAGGTGTTCTTCCTTTGAGGCGCCCACCCTGTGGATTACGCTCGGTAACGCTTCCTAAATCACAATGATGGAGCGGGAACGGTTCCGTCCGGCTGTTTTGGTGCAGCCAGAGAGCTTAAACGTCACGTGGGCTGTTTGGCTGAGCTAGCCAAAGTTTCCCTGCAAATCAGTTGGGGATTTTTGCGTTAGCATTGTAGCTCCTTTTAGCTGATTTAAACTCAGCGAGCCCCACAAAAAGCAGTAACTAATTTGCCTAAATCAACTCAAAGGCTGGGTGATTACTGGACAAAACCACAGCTTTACTGCTTCAAATCGTATAATAGGCTTGCTTTTTCCTCCACTTACTCAATTGCTCAATTGCCCTTGCCGATAATGATACTTTTGGTTGGTTAATTTACAGCTTTAGTTAGTTAATTAGTTAGTTAAATTGAATTAAAATGGATTATTCGTGAGACTTCCATCTCATCCAAATTGTTACCAAATTACTATTTTCTAGTGCCTTTAAGCAAATTACAGTTAAGCTGAATAAAGCTAAAAAATAATGTCAATAATTTCTACTTAATTGCAGTCAAACAATATGTTTTTGAGAGATAACACACAAAAGGTATTTATATGTAATGTTAATTGTTCTATAATCTGCTGGCTGTAATTAATTGTGATTAACATATCACATTATTTACTTTAGCTGTTGACCGGGTAAACAGAATTATTATATTCAACTCAAAACATCTCATGTTTTTTAGCCTCTTTATCAGGTAAATCACTGCCTGCACATCCAAAGTTGACAGCAACCACAGCAATAGATTTCCCTTGATAGCGAGTGGGAATTATTAAAGGAGTAAACAATTCTGTACATAACCTTAGAGATTTGACGCTTACTCGGCAGATCAGAAGAATCCAAATGGCATCATTGAAAAGTAAATGTGTAAACGGTATACATTAAGAATATGTAAAATACATGTGCATTCGTCCGTCAATTGTTCATGAGTGGAAGGTACCATTTTTATGTGTTACGATTACACATCACACATGTTAAGGGGGTATTTTAAAGGTATTGCAAAGTTCAAGCATATGTTTCTTGGTTTTGTCCCCAGGCAAATCATCCAAACCAATGTCAAATACTCGGTCAGTCTACCATTCGTAAGCAGCAAATGCTTTTCCAAATAACCTTTTTGTTTTTACTGGAACTTAGGTAAAGCCACACTCATGTATACCTAAAAACAATACTCATGGAGTCATATTGTTAAAATAGAGTTGTTAGATAGAATGTCGACAAGTCATGTGAGAAAATGCCTAAGATGACTTTCAGTTTCACGTGTACCTCAAATTATCTCATGGGGGAAAGTTCAGTTTGGTGTGATAATAAATCAAAGCAATATGAAAAGAAATACACAAAGGAAGCAGCGCACAGTGAAGCCTACACCTGCTCACGGTAGTCATGCCATCACTTATTTTATCCGTGTCTCTCTTTATAGACCGTGAGCTGATGTAAAGATAATGAGCTTTACAGTAAGAGATTTTAGGCTCTTACTGCAGCTCACGTGAGGGTGTTTCCCTATTTTTTTTTGGAGGGGGGGGTTCTGGATTAAACATCATGATCAAGCAGTGTTTATACATACCAATGGTTGCACGTGCTGGATGTATGAGAATGCCAGGATACAAACACACACACACACACACACACACACACACACACACACACACACACACACACACACACACACACACACACACACAGAGCAGGTTCTCCTCCACCACCCAAATGCACATACAAGATGGGCTACTAGTGCAGAGATGGAGATAACAGAGGGGGGGGTCCTGACAGAGCCATCATCGATCTGAACGGGGGAGGGAGAGAGAGGGAGTAAGAGAGAGAAATCTGTCAAGAAAAGAGGAAAGCGAAGCGCAGTGCCGGGCTGCATCTTTATCCCAGCAGACCCCTCCCCTTCTCCCTGCCCCCCCCCCCGCTTCCTCTCTGTCTCCACGCCAGCTGATGCTGACTGGAGGTGAAGCGGCTCCCCTGTCCCCTCGTTATCCCGGCGAAAACCTGGACGGACTCCCGCAGATTTGGGACAGACTGGACCCGCCACTGGATCACAGCGGAGGGGGAAACTGCACATCTGAAAGAGAACCAAACCGAACCAAACCAGGACAGCGGGAGAGACAGAGAATAACACGGCCCCCCCCCCCCCGATAACGCAGAACAACTTCCAAACGGTTGTGTCCTCTGGAGCCGTCGCCACCGGAAAGGTAAGACCGAGCTGCAGGCGCGTGCACGCAGCGCAAATGCGCACACACGTGCACATATATGCGCATATATATGCGTCCGTGCGCTGGATCACAGCAGTGCGCAGTGCGTGCGAAAACGCGCCTGCTGTGTCCATCTGCACTCCGTCACTGTGTTTATGTTGAGCTGCACCAGCTGAAGGGCTGCCATAACACACAGCATATATGGCGCGTGCCTGACGTATATGCATTTCGCATTCACGGCGCGTTTGTGCGTTCGCCCTGCAACTTGCTTCACCCTGCGCTTTAGTTGCAGGTCGCAACGTGAGCTGAGTTTGTTGCATTCAAACGCATAGCATTTGAACACCTGTTCTGATTGAGATGCATGTGTGTGTGTGTGTGTGTGTGTGTGTGTGTGTGTGTGTGTGTGTGTGTGTGTGGTCGTGGGTGAACGTACGTATGCGTGCGTGCGGGGAATGGGGGTCTTATCAGAGGGGAGGCTTTGGTCATGTGCGTTCTTTATGTGTACTTTCTTATTGTGTTTTTAATGTGTGGGTGGGCATCTGGTGTTACTACTGAGAAATTCTGCAGCAGACCCTCATGGAAGTGTTTTAATGGCAAAACTGCACAAAATGCATCCAACACCAGAAATCAGCGTTTGTTTGTCTTTCAACAGATTTGGAGAACACGTGTTGTGTATTATGGTTTTGGTTTCCAGGGTTCAATAAGAGGTGTCCCATCCAAGTGATCAACAGGCTTGCATTTGTTTTGACTTGTTGGCATGTGCACTCAGACAGACTGAGATGGTGGAGTAAGACGAGTGACGTCCAAAGGTGTCCAAAGAAGAGCTCTCAGTTTGAAGAAGAATTTGCACGTATACTTTGTGTAATAATTCAATTTTATCCCTGATATATTCACAACGTTTTCCTCACCTGTTCACAAGTTACAACTGTGAACATAGTGCTTCATTTTGTTGATGAGCTTTAGCATTAGTTGACTTCCTTAGATTTATAGTATTCATTTTATTAGAAGCAAGCTGGGGCTGAAAATGTTACAATAAACAATAAACAAACAAACCTCAGTAGCCAACTTAAAGTCAGTTTTTAGTCACTATATTTGTTTGACTAAAATTACATTTAGTTGAATTTAGTATTCAACATTATAATGAAACCCGTAGATAATCAACTTCACATAATCTGAGCTGCTCTTAAGTTCTTTACACAACAAGGTAGATGAACAAACAGAAAAATTCAAAATACTCATCAGCAAATATTTAGCAGATCAAAGAAGTGGGATTACATGATCTCTCACAGTTGATTATAGATTCAAGCACATGTGTGAAGAGTGTGAGGTGCATGTACTGGTAAAATATATTATAACATTGTTTTGTGCTAAAGCCGTGTCTCAAGTGTCCTGTATTTGACCCTGATGTGCAAAGAGCAGCATGATACAAAATGTTAGTTCGCAGCTGTGTCCTGAGAAGGGAGGGCGGTCAACTCGATCTCATAGACGCTTCAAAACAAAGGACTTCTGTTCATGGCCTTAGTTCATATCTTATTCGGTACGAAAGTTCCGAATCCACGCTTTTACTTTATGTCAATTAATTATGATTTGCACCGGCCACTGAGGAGGATCTTGTGTGTGCGTGTGTGTGCTACCCTCAGCTTCACCTGGGTTCTTATCTCAACCTGCTTTGCAGCTTCTCGTAGCTGGCACGGAGAATGTCCTTCACATGTGTGTATAAAAACTCAGCGTTTTTACTGCTCGGAGACTTCATTACACCGAGCGCTGAGATACGTGCTGGTGTGTTGGACCTCCTGCTTGCAAGCAATAGTTAGAGCCAGATAGCTGCTCATGTAATCTTTTTCTCTTCTAAATAAATGTTAACTTTTGACTTTAATTGATCAACGTCCTGCGATTCTTCTCATCAACCAACTCGGGGGGATTGGAGATCCTGACAATAGTACTGCCAGAGATGTAATATTTCCCAGTAATGGCCAACGACTCTCATTAAGAAAAGACCATTAAACACAATAAATGGTCACATTCTAAGGGTATTTTGTTGAAAACAAAGTGGACATTCTTGGGACACAGTGTTGCTGGCTGCTGTTATGTTCAGTAGCTAAAGATAAAATAAAAAAATAACATTAAAAAACCCTGTGAATAAAATCAGTTGATTCAAAGTTGGGTGCCAGACAGGAGAACAACTGCACTTCTACACTGTTACTGAGAGAAAATGTCACTTTGAATAATAACTAACCCCGCTTTACAAAAACACCCAACATTATCCAGTTTTTATCAGTCAATTCTGCATGTTGTGTCATGCGCGTGCTTGTACGTCACTTTCCCCACCTCGTTTTACTGGCTGGGTAGAAATAGGCTGTGCATCTTTGCCCTTTCTACTAAACACTTCAAACTTTTCATTAACTCAAAAACAAAACACCGTTGTTATTGGTGTAGTTCGTCCATTTACTGTCAGAGAGGAAATTTGTCCGAGGGCTGTGTCTTATTTGTGTAACTAACCATTAAGACAACCAGATGGCACATCTCCCCCCCCCACAGTTTACCTTCACTGTATCTGCTTATTGACATAGCTTATGTATCATTATGTTATAGGTTTCCTCTGAAGGGGTTAGGCAGTCAGATGCAGATATCCATCACAAAGGATTGTGGAGTTTTGGGTGTATGTTTACTGGTGTTCCTGGACCTCATTGTTCTTTAACATCCTATTGAGGGTCTTTGGTTAAGATTTTTTGAGAACATGCGGCCTCTTTAGTCATTTGAAGAGGCCAGTATGAAACAAACACATCATTCATCCCTGAAATTTGAACACATCATGATGATGTAACGCGTCGTTTCATTTGCCTCTCAGCCTTTTTTTTTGTAGCATTAGTGTGTAATTATTATTTCTTTTTATCAGGACAATGGTTCGGGGTTAGACTCAAGCCTTAATCCCCAGTGCTAATGGAGTCCCTCTGTTACTGAAGAGGAAGGAGCCTTGTGACATTGGGTTGTTGTCTACACGGGACATAATTAAATTTCCAAAAAAAGATGCTTGTCACAAACTTTACAAAAGCAGCTCCCTTACTCATTGACAATAAAACGTACCTGGTAGCTAATTCTCCCGGCAGCAAAGGCACCAGGAAATCTGAAACATCTTCAGAATTATAGATCATTTACAGATAGTTTTGTTGGACTAGAGTCCATTAAAACAACACACTCACCCATTTGTATTGTTTAAACCTGAATGTCTGCTGAAGTGGCTGTAAAGTATTACAGAAACTTTTTGCAGTCACAACATTGTTTTTCTCCGACACCTCACAACGTTTTACTGCTGAAACATTGCTCGTGAAGTTAAGTCTTTCTGTTTTTATCCTCTAAATATAACCAGTCATACTTCTTTGTAGAGAAAGCTGTCCTGCTGTGATACATGACTCAGCATAAAAACTCCAAACAGACCAGGACGTCCCCACTCTTTAAATAGCTCACGCCTACTTCCTACCACTATTGTAGAGGATAAAAACGACCCACATGAATCAAAGACATGTTTAATGATAATAACACATGCACATATGCTAACACACAGAGATTTTCCTGATTTATGGATTGATAAAGAGATTTCCAGTGTTTTATTATCTATATTTCTGTTGATTTTTGGAATTCATGATATACTTGCCTTTCAGCATCGTGGAAAGTTTCATATTGTTTTTTTTGTTGTGTTTCTATAGCTAATATATATATATATATATATATATATATTTATAACATTTGGATGGATAATACATCTGAAAGTACCTTTTTTATAACCAATATACAGCCGGCAAACACAAAACTGTTGGCGTAGCTTTACTTTCCCTCATGCGCAGTCATACGTCAGCATCATTAGTGCGTCCATGTCGTCTCACACTCGGTGGAGGTGGTTCTGTGGCCCACCCAAAACGTAACAGTAGCCTTACATGGACTTACACTTCAGGCTCAAGTTTAGCTGCTCGTTCATCAGGGCTTAGGCAGCTAAAACACACACAACAACACACACAGACGCACACAGACAGTGCAGAGACAAAGCAAGTGAGACAAAACACACTGAAGCCGCGGGTGGATGTGGAGGAAGGAGAGGAAGAAAGTGTTTCAAAGGGGAGGGAGATGAAGAAGAGATGGAAAGATGAGAAAATAATGAAGGAGGGATATGAGAGCATATATAACCCGCGCGCACCGAGCTCGGCATCAACCGCGGGGGAATTTAGCAGCACAGCAGTGTTACGTTGCTGTTCTGATTTGATGAATATTCATCATCAGGCAGAGAAAGCGAGGCAGCCTGGTTCATGGCAGCACTTTGATGTGTTGCTAGCTAACAGCTAACAAACAGAGGTTCGATAGAGTTTTACTGTGGTGCGTTCATGCTCTAATCCGTAAAGCATTTTCACGACCTGTTCAAAATGTACTTTGTTAAAATGTTATGTTTGGCTAAAGTCTAATAAAGAGTTGTTATGGACAGCAAAATAAAATAGGTATCAGTGACCAGTTATGTGATCCGGTGCATCTTATCCAGACACCCTGAAAACAACGGGTGAATAATACCAGTACACTGAGTGTCTCATCTTCACCCTCTTCTCTGTGCCAGTCCACAAGCCCAAGCCACTTCAACTCTTTCACAGCAACTCACTCCAAACCTGTACTGACTTGCATCATGTGTTGCAGATTTGTTCAGCGGTTTGAACAGATGTGATGATGTGCCCATTGATCGCGTCTCCCACTTCCCTCTGATTGGTGAAAACAGTTGACTCCACTGAGCTTGGTAGATGGAAAACTTTTATCAAACTTTATATTCCACATCTTCTTTTTACATCAAAAAATAAATAAAACCAGTGTGACACATCACTGTGAGTAGACTTTTGTGTGTGTGTGCGATGGATCTATTTAAATGTTAAGGCCATTTCCAGGTTGTAGGTATAGGTTGGGCACATTCATTACGCTGCAAAAACACAGAATCTTTGAGTTGTTAATTGTTGAGCGTTGCAAATTTTGAAAGGTAAACCTCATAATATATGAGAAGCAATTCAAAAGGATTTAGATTGAATTAGTGGATTCGATACTGGATTTTATTTTGATGATTGGACATCAATTACCGCAGCAATAGTCAGATTATTTGAATCACCTTTAGTCTTCTCCTATAGAAAAGAAAAGGAATACACATTTAGCATAGCAGAAACCAGCAAGTAACCACAAACATTACAAAAAAAAGGCAAAATATTGGAGCTTCCGTATCGTTACAATAACACTTTGTTTCGTGGCATTGCAGCATGGCTCCTTTGTTTCCTTCACTGTATGTTTTAAAAGAGTGCATCACACTCAATAGTACTGCACTCTCTTTCCCCCCTTAGTTACCGTTGCTAGGCCTGTCCAGCCTTCACACTTGGCCTGTCAATATGGGGTTTTCAACTCAGTGAAGATATGTTCCAAAGAAATAATAGTTAGGCAATATCAGAGAGAAGGGCACCGAAAGGACTACAATATGCTTTTGAGGGATACATTGATAAAATGATTTGTTACTGAGTGAATAAAGGGGCCATTAAAGTGGAGGCAAAGGCTCAGCGGCCCCAATGAAAGCTTCAGTCCCCGCGTCTCGTCTAGCAATCAACCTCAAATCAAGGATTTTATCGATATTGTTTGGTTCTCTATCGAAACACTTTTATTTGTAAATAATTGTTTTTTTTTAATATATAATAATACTAGCATCACAAATTGGTTTTATCTCAATTGCATTTTCAACATCACCCAGTCACAGGGGCTTAGAGTACAGCTGTACATCACTAAAGCAATGCGAGAAGTTAAACCACTTGAGTGTTAAAGTTTAATTTGTACCCACACTTAAATGCTGGCTCATATTTATAATAAAAAGTGAGTTATTATGACTTCCTTGTTTTTATATGAAATTGCATGTGACCCAGCAGAGTTTAACGCGTCCTTGTTCCCCGGCAGAGATGGAGTACCCTGACGACTTCCTGCTGGCCGAACTGGGCCACCTGCAGTTCTACAACAACTCGTTCTTCGCGAACAACTTCAACGGTACCTACAATGAGACCGAAGCGCTGCTTCCAACGGGGGTGAAGGTCACCATCGTAGTCGTCTACATGATTGTCTGTGTCATCGGCCTGGTGGGAAACTTCCTGGTCATGTACGTCATCATAAGGTAAGAAAAACATGCATTTCTAAAGGCACAAAAAGTAAACTTGCTTTCAACAGAAACGCGAAAAGAAAAAGAGAAGATCAAACTAACACCAGAGTCATTAGTCATTTTTTTGAAACTCATGTTGATTTACAAAGGGAAACTATGAAGGATTCCAGTGAAAACTTTACACTTAATGCATTTCTACATTCTGCCCATTCTTGAATTAGTTTAAAAATAGTCAATAGTCAAGGCAGTTGCCATTGAGTAAAAGTCACTTGGTGTCACCATGTCGGCGGGGTCGGCCAACGGAAAACCTGCTGGTGCTAATTAGCGATGCTTGCTCACTACAGGGTTCCCGCGGGTCCTAAAAAAGTCTTAAAATGTCTTAAATTAAAATTCGGGTAACTAAGGTCTTAAATTGTCTTAAATTTCACGTAAAGTTGCTGTAGGTATTCATTTTTTTGCCGGTGCGCTTAATAACGATGAGAAAGCACAGTGGCGCATCGTAAAACATCTAACCGTTGATTAATTTAGTATTGTGCGAAATGAGTCTGCGCAATTTAATGTTTACGGTACGTCGGCTACAGACGCTGACGTCAGGCTGCGTGTCGCCATTACGCGGCTGTCGATGTGAGGTTGAAAATGCAAAGAAGATGGGGAAGTGCAAATTTAACGACGAGTGGATGGAAGAGGATGCGTTTAGGAGGTGGTTGGCACCGATTGAAAACAACTATGAGGCAATGTGTAAACTATGCAAAAAGACCTTTTCATTAGGGACCACGGGGCTCAAAGCCGTCGGGTCGCACATGAAAGGAGGAAAGCACCAGCGATACGTTGCAGCAGCTAGCCATAGTGGGGCCAGGTTAATCCCTGCAACGACGTTACAAGTTCAGACGCCACCTCTCAGTCGGCTGCAACAAGTTTCATTTCAACACCAGACACCCAAAAGGCAGAGGTACAGTGGGTTCTCCATACTGTGACGAGGCACCATTCATTTAAATCTATGTGATCACATTTGTGTTTTCAAACAGTTATTATTTTCATTATTTGATAAGGTTCCTTCATGCAATGCATTGTGTTGTTTAGTGTAATCCAAATTTATGTATGTTATGTTGGCTCTGTTCTGCATCACAAAGGAATCACTTTGATTGTTTACATCTATATTGGCCAAACAGTGTTGGAAGGGTTATTGTCAGTTATTATACTGTCTCCTAATTTGAAAAAAAGTTTTGATTTCCATTGTAGGAGGCAATAAATTCCAATGAAATTGTGACATTTTTGGGTCTTAAATTATATATGTTGAGGTCTTGAAAAGGTCCTAAAAAGCATTACATTTTTGAAATGGTGCAAGAATCTTGTACTAACGGACACATTTAATTTTATCCAAAAGAAACACTAGCTGACTCAGTGCAAGTCATCCGAGGAAGGTATTAACCAAGAATGTGTGGAACGGTTGTGACGGCTCCCTCCTTCTGACAGATGACAGCCACGTACCCACCATATCCTTTTCATTAAGTCTGGTTAATATACAATATTTAATGTTATGTTGTGCTATTTTGCTCTTAGATCATCCCAAATCCTATGAACTCACCCCTTAGAGCCAAAACCATTGATTTCAACAAAACACTAGTTCCTTATCAGAAGAATGACTTCTAAGTGAATTTACGTCATACACAGTTCTTTTATATCTTTTACAGAGCAAAAGCCACCCTGAGCATCTGTCTGTTTGAGCACACGTCCCCCATTTCGTAGAGATGTGAAAGTCTGTCTTTTGTGAACGTGTGTCTTAGTGTCGGCAAACATTTCCTGTCAATGTGATTTGAAACGAGCATAAGTGAACATCTGGGTGTTGCAGTCGGTGGATCTGTGTGCAGTCATGGTCGGCCTGGTGGACAGCTGCTGTCTGCTCATCTATATCCTTTCAAACCCAAAACACTGAGCACACTGATTGTGTGTGTCTGTTGTTGTTTTTGTTGGGACACTGTTGCTCTGTATGTATGCTCAATATTTGTTTGCGTGATGAGACAACTGAAAGCTGGAGAATAATGGCATTGTCATTGAAAGGTTTTCAAATTTCACTCAGCTACAGGGAGTCCTGTAGACATACGAGTCACACACACACACGCTGATGGTTATTATTCTATTGGTCTCCACCTCTTCAACATTACCACCCACACACATTATTTCACTCACAGGGTCAACCTTTGCAGTGGACGGGGTTCATTTCCAACCCGCGGCCCTTTGCTTTGTATCACTCCCCTTTCTCTTTATCTCCCTTCACTTCTGTCATTTTCCAGCTGCTTTGCATAAATACCTCGAAAAAGAACCAGAAACCACAAAAAGTAAAACGCACAGAGAAAATAATCACACATTGAGACTTTTCTGAAATCAAAAAAGTCACAGGTGTTAAATCAATGCTGTGGTTTAACAATGTCAGCCATTGCCCACAGTAAAGATGGCTGCCCTCTGCAACAACCTTTATCCAGGGTGTCAGAAGGCAGCAGCCTCCATCTATTTGGTTGGATCTATCAGCAAATGCAGTTTCTGCCCTCGTTAAATATATGCCGATGTAGTGCACACAAGCTGTGTGTGGATTTTGTAAGGATATGAGAAGAAATAAGTACTATTGTATTTAGCCATAAATCGTTGGCAACAGTAACCAACTGTGCAGCGGTCAAATCCGCCTCTTCCTTGTAAACAATAACGAGCAATAAAACACAGCCACTCTCGCGTCTTTTTGGCTTCTCATTTTTTCCCACATGCCCTTGTGATTTTCATGACAGCGCTGCAAGCTCTGAGTGTTTCAGAGGACTGTTGAGGAAGATGAGTTTCAACTTCCAGCAGCAGACCGCTGTAGTGCAGAAGAGTTTTTGGCTGTTAGCAATAAAAAGAGCCAAGAGCAGATATTTCTACGAGCGTCTGTTTAGAGCGACGTGCCTAAAAGAAAGAGCAGGTGGACCACAGGGAGAGATAAACATTATGCTGAAATTGAGCGCAGAAGAGCCCGCAGACAGAGAGGAGAGGATGGCAAGATGAAGCAGGGGGGATTTCTGCTCGGGAAGAAACTGCCGGGAAGGATTTTTGTAAGGGGTCTGTTTCCATAACAACAGACGGATCCGTGTTGTGCGTTTTTGGACATTGTCAGACCTTAGCAGCAGCTTTGAGGCCAACCACAGACCTCAGTGACACTAATCATTACATTTTTTACATTACATGTCATATAGCTGACGCTTTTATCCAAAGCGAATTACAATAAGTTGATTCAACGATAGGGTACAAACTACAAGAAACAACAAAGCAATTTCCTCAAATAAGCCAATTTACAATTTGCTTTAGATAAGAGCCGTTATAAGTACAATTTAAGTGCTACAATTTGTTAGTCTTTAGTCGAGGTAGAGTCTGAAGAGGTGTGTCTTTAGTTTGCGGCGGAAGATGTGAAGGCTCTCTGCGGTCCTGGTGTCTTCAGAGAGCTCGTTCCACCATTTCGGAAGGAGGACAGCAAAGAGTCGTGATCTGGTCGAGTGTTTTGTTTTGTTTTGTCACATGGTGACAGCTACCAAGCAAAGACTAGCAGGAAGAATAAATTGTGTACTTTCTTTCAAGTTAAAAAAACGTCTGGTTAACAAATATACAATAAGTAATTACATAAATAATGTATTTACTGCATTAATTTAGTCCTCTAAATTATTTTACTAATTTACTCAGCTAGTCCTGTAATGTCAGTTTTGGGTTGCGCGTGTGATGGGAGAATGCACTGTGCATGCAGCTTTTGAATGGCTGTTAAATAAGACACTGCCAAAAAATCTGTACATTTAATGGAAAAGTAAACTGCTAAATAAGGTGAGTGGTTAAAATACAATAGTCGTGCTTTCGAACCAACAAGACCTATGCCTTTTATTTGTGTGACTATAATTCCATGAAATCGGTTGACTATAAATAAAAAGCTCCTCATTTCCATCTGCAAATTGTGTGACTCTTTGCGACGCCCCGTCAGCCACCTGTTTCTTTGAATAAAAAGAAGAAAAACAATCAACATTCATACATTGGCTCGGAGACTTAATGCTAAATGAATAGCCAATAACCCAGAGGGTGTGCGTGTGCGTGCATGCACTGCATACAGAGGGATTTTTGACCTTTCACTTGTCATCTCGTCAGATTTACATCATGTATGTGTGTGTGTGTCCTGGTCGCTTTAAATAAACATGTTTCTGTTTCCATGAAGAGCTGAATTGTTTAGAGGAATCTCATTCAGACCCAAACAAAGGTGTTGGTAGATGTGTGTGTGGAGGTGAAGGTCGAGCTCTGGGGTTTTATTTTGAGTTTTTTATGTAAAATATATTGATGGAAACAGAGAAAAAATAGAGGACAATAATGAGAGGGAAGGAGAGAGAAATAAAGGGCAAATTAAAAATACATCAATGAAAGAGAGAAGGTGCATCCTGTGCCGCATTATCTGATATCCTCTCATACTCTTATCTCTTCTATAGTTCCCCTTACGAATCAGGATGTGTGTGTGTTTATTACCTGCGTTGTGAGAGCCATTATGATCCTCCTGTCGAAAATCAATTTATTCCTTTTGAACAAACAAAAGGAATAAATTGATTTTCGGCAGGAGGATCAGCGACTTTTATCCGTCGCCCAGGTTTCTCCGAAACATCACTTCTTAATTCTTAATTCTAATTCTTAAATCAAATTGCTCAATGCTGCATCTGGACATTTCTCTGATTAGTGATAAACCTTCTGTTATGGTTCAAATAAATAAATACAGGTACGTCATGTTTTTTCATTCAACCTTGTTGTCTGAGGGGTGAAAGTAGATGGACGTTCTTGCTGGTACGACCAATCTAATTGTAATGTCTTCATAATGTTTTCACCCAGACCACACATGAACACATGCCCTCAATTTAATTTTAGGAGCTTGTATTATGTAGAAATTAAACTGAATTTCTTGAAACATCATGATCTAATTGGGATATTTGTTTTTTTTTGCGAGGAACGATTGGCATGAAGTCCCGTCATTC